CTCCATACAGACCTTCTCCAGATCCTTCAGGTTTCGGGGCTGTCGCTGGGCAATACGGACTTTCAGCTCCCTCCAAAGATTTTCTGTTGGGTTCAGGTCTGGAGACTGGCTAGGCCACTCCAGGACCTTGAGATGCTTCTTACGGAGCCACTCCTTAGTTGCCCTGGCTGTGTGTTTCGGGTCGTTGTCATGCTGGAAGACCCAGCCACGACCCATCTTCAATGCTCTTACTGAGGGAAGGAGGTTGTTGGCCAAGATCTCGCGATACATGGCCCCATCCATCCTCCCCTCAATACGGTGTAGTCGTCCTGTCCCCATTGCAGAAAAGCATCCCCAAAGAATGATGTTTCCACCTCCATGCTTCACAGTTTGGATGGTGTTCTTGGGGTTGTACTCATCCTTCTTCTTCCTCCAAACACGGCGAGTGGAGTTTAGACCAAAAAGCTCTATTTTTGTCTCATCAGACCACATGACCTTCTCCCATTCCTCCTCTGGTTCATCCAGATGGTCATTGGCAAACTTCAGATGGGCCTGGACATGAGCAGGGGGACCTTGCGTGCGCTGCAGGATTTTAATCCATGACGGCGTAGTGTGTTACTAATGGTTTTCTTTGAGACTGTGGTCCCAGCTCTCTTCAGGTCATTGACCAGGTCCTGCCGTGTAGTTCTGGGCTGATCCCTCACCTTCCTCATGATCATTGATGCCCCACGAGGTGAGATCTTGCATGGAGCCCCAGACCGAGGATGATTGACCGTCATCTTGAACTTCTTCCATTTTCTAATAATTGCGCCAACAGTTGTTGCCTTCTCACCAAGCTGCTTGCCTATTGTCCTGTAGCCCATCCCAGCCTTGTGCAGGTCTACAATTTTATCCCTGATGTCCTTACATAGCTCTCTGGTCTTGGCCATTGTGGAGAGGTTGGAGTCTGTTTGATTGAGTGTGTGGAGAGGTGTCTTTTATACAGGTAACGAGTTCAAACAGGCGCAGTTAATACAGGTAATGAGTGGAGAACAAGGGGGCTTCTTAAAGAAAACTAACAGGTCTGTGAGAGCCGGAATTCTTACTGGTTGGTAGGTGATCAAATACTTATGTCATGCAATAAAATGGAAATTAATTACTTAAAAATCATACAATGTGATTTTCTGGATTTTTGTTTTAGATTCCGTCTCTCACAGTTGAAGTGTACATATGATAAAGATTACAGACCTCTACATGCTTTGTAAGTAGGAAAACCTGCACATTTGGCAGTGTATCAAATACTTGTTCTCCCCACTGTAGGTGTTCATAGCTAATTTCAAACAGTTATGTCTTTAGAGCATAATTTAATTGAGAAAAGTGAATACTACAGCAAAATAAAATGGGTGTTGAATGTCAGCTTTATCAAAAGGACATATTACAACAACAAAAAATACATCTTACATTGACAGAATTGTCTTTTGCAGAGTAAGCATCAGCAAGAGAGATCTTTTTAGTCAAATATTTTAAAGTGTGTGATTTGTCACAAAAGTGCAAAGATATATAAGAACAGCAAATTGATATTGGTGGTGTAAAAATTTGATTTCAATACATAAAATGGGACTTCTCAAACATATATAATGCGTCTGCTAAATGACTAAAATTTAAATTTAAAAGAGAGGTCCCATCAACACACCCACCCACTAACACATTCTGTTTTTGTAAATGGCACGTTAATGGTCAAAGAATGCCCAAACATTACAACCAAATTTGAACCACAGCAATGCGCAGACACCTTTAGTAACACTTCAAACTCAGGAGAAGCAAGTTAGGATCTTTGAAAGTAGACCACTCTGTCAATCATAGTGTCTGAGCACACAGCCTGGTCTCATTGACTAGACGTAACATAACAAATGTAAATCCACAACCCTGAAAATAGTATGATACTGTAGGTTACGTTTGGTATGGTATAGTTACATAAGACAGATGGTTACTTAAGGCAAAAAAGAAAGTAGGGTGGTTGGTTGTGGTGGATGGGTGGGCATATAGTAACCCAAAGGTTGCGAGTTCGAATCTCATCACAGATAACTTGAGAAACTTTTCAACTACTTTGCATGTTAGCTAACCCTAACCCCTAAACTTAACCCTAACCCCTAGCCTAGCTAACATTAGCCAGCTAGCTAACATTAACCACCTAGCTAGTTTTCGTAACATTTACATTTAGCAAATTCATAATATATTGTAAGTTTTGCAAATTTGTAACATATTGTACATTTTGCAAATTCATAACATGTCATATGAAATGGGTGAAGGACATCCACAAATTAATACATACCATACCAAACATAACATATCACACTAAATGGAGTGTCTCGGATTTACGTACATAATAATACGAAAAGCTCTGAGACCAGGTTGGAGCACAGGGCACTTGTGGATTTCAGAACACTGTATTCATTATTTTAATGCTATACCAAGATTAACAATGTCCACTGGGTTAACAACCACTCAATTTGAATATCCTCTATCTGTACTACATTTTCTTTGTCCACTGAAGATTACAACTTATATTGCATTCAGAATTTGGGAGAAAATTGGTTAGAAACATTTATTCCAGTTCAACACAAAACACACACATACCCATCTTTCATTCAATTTCTATATTTACAGACATTAATCAACATACAAAAAACAGTATGTGAATGTCAGACACAGCATTCTTCCAGTTCAACACAAATATCACACTCACTCAAGTAACTTGAACAACTGTTATTGATGCCCCCTCCAAAATTACCTGTTTTTAGCAGATGTTGCAACAAGCCATATTTGTGTGCCATACATAGAATACAGTATTTCTGTTGTGAAAATCTGTTTTTTCCCCATCACCATTATTACCAACATTGCAATCTCATTTAAAGTAACTGTCCAGTGTTTCCAGATTTATACGAAATACTATCATTAGCTAATTACAATAGGAGTGCAATAGTTTGTTAATAAATGTTAAAAAGCAGCTTTTCTGTGTTGGAATGGTGTGGGCGTATACCATCATAAAAAATATTAATGTAAGTAAACCGCTGATTGGCCAGCTCATCCTCCTCAGGATGACATCATCCTCTATGAGGAAATAGCAAGCATTTTTTAAACGGCCTGTTTGAGATACAAGTTTGAGGTGTTTAAAAAAAAAGTTTTTTTCTACAATTTATGCTTTGGCCAAAAATGAGTATAGATCGAGTCAACAACATTATTTGGGTATAAGTTAAGAGTATGAACTTTTAAAAAGTGAGATTTTCACTGGGATAGTTACTTTTAAATGTACAGTGGGTCAAAATATATATTAATTTTACATATACAGTACCAGTCAAAGGTTTGGACACCTACTCATTCCAGGGTTTTTCTTTATTTTTACTATTTTCTGCATTGTAGAATAATAGTGAGACATCAAAACTATGAAATAACACATATGGAATCATGTAGTAACCAAAAAAAGTGTTAAACAAATCAAAATATATTTTATATGAGATTCTTCAAATAGCCACCCTTTGCATTGATGACAGCTTTGCACACTCTTGGCATTCTCTCAACCAGCTTCACCTGGAATGCTTTTCCAACAGTCTTGAAGGAGTTCCCACATATGCTGAGCACTTGTTGGCTGCTTTTCCTTCACCCTGCGGTCCATCTCAATTGGGTTGAGGTTGGGGGATTGTGGAGGCCAGGTCATCTGATGCAGCACTCCATCACTCTCCTTCTTGGTAAAATAGCCCTTACACAGCCTGGAGTTGTGTTGGGTCAAGCCCAAACCAGATGGGATGGTGTATCGCTGCAGAATACTGTGGTAGCCATGCTGGTTAAGTGTGCCTTGAATTCTAAATAAAATCACAAAGTGTCACCAGCAAAGCACCCCCACACCATAACACCTCCTCCTCCATGCTTTACGGTGGGAACTACACTTGCGGAGATAATCCGTTCACCCACACCGAGTCTCACAAAGACACAGCGGTTGGAACCAAAAATCTCTGAATTTGGACAACTTGCCACCGGTCTAATGTCCATTGGTCGTGTTTCTTGGCCCAAGCAGGTCTCTTCTTCTTATTGGTGTCCTTTAGTAGTGGTTTCGTCGCAGCAATTCGACCATGAAGGCCTGATTCACACAGTCCCCTCTGAACAGTTGATGTTGAGATGTGTCTGTGACTTCAACTCTGAAGCATTTATTTGGGCTGCAATTTCTGAGGCTGGTAACTCGAACGAACTTATCCTCTGCTGCAGCGGTAACTGGGTATTCCATTCCTGTGGCAGTCCTCATGAGAGCCAGTTTCATCATAGCGCTTGATGGTTTTTGCGACTGTACTTGAAGAAACTTTCAAAGTTCTTGAAATGTTCCGTATTGACGGTCCTTCATGTCTTAAAGTAATGATGGACTGTCGTTTCTCTTTGCTTTTGAGCTGTTCTTGCCATAATATGGACTTGGTCTTTTACCAAATAGGGCTATCTTCTGTATACCACCCCTACCTTGTCACAATACAACTGATTGGCTCAAACGCATTAAGGAGGAAAGAAATTCCACAAATTAACTTTTAACAAGGCACACCAGGTGACTGAATGCCAAGAGTGTGCAAAGCTGTCATCAAGGCAAAGGGTGGCTATTTGACGAATCGCAAATGTAAAATATAACACTTTTTTGGTTACTACATGATTCCATATGTGTTATTTCATAGTTTTGATGTCTTCACTATTATTCTACAATGTAAAAAATAGGAAAAGTAAAGAAAAACCCTTGAATGAGTAGGTGTCCAAACCTTTGACTGGTAGTGTAGCTCTAAAAGCAATGTAAATAATTGAATGTGTTTACACACACAAAAGCTGGTTACACAGCCTATTAGTTATGAGTAGTAGATGCATAGGAAATCAGCACCTGCCTATTGCATTTTGCACCATCCCGTCCTCTTCTTTCATATAAGCGAGAGAAGGTGCCTCTCTGCCTCTACTGGTCCCACCATCTTAGATGGACCCATGTTCAACACTCACCAGGACTTGGAGGTGGGTGCTGGTCAGTTTTTGCCCACTCGGATGTTGGGGTTTAGTAGGGGGTCTAAGTTGGGGTCAGAGTCGGCTGAAGCACGGCCCAGTTTAGCCATAATGATAATCAAGGTAAAGAATCCCAGCACTCCAACCAGAAGGAGCATGAAGACCCTCTGCTTCCAGGACAGGCCTGTCCTCTTTGAACCCGTCCGATTTCTGTGAACACAAATTCATTTATATCTTCAACAGAGTTTATCCGCAACGTTATATTCAGTTTTGTTGCGACCCTCTCAGTCCATTCTACAGGTAACTGCCAAAATAAAGAATAAAATAAAGACTTGAGTAAATGAGAGATAAAAAGTACAGTATATTGAAAGCATGGGTTGATTCTACACAGGAAGTTCCAGACACTTCTAGAATCTATGCCAAGGTGCATTGAAGCTGTTCTGGTGGCTCCTAGTGGTCCAACGCCCTATTTAGCCACTTTATGTTGGTGTTTCCTTTATTTTGGCAGCTGGATAGGGGAAACGGCTCGAGTCGCACAAAAGGGAATACAACGTTGCGGATAATGTTCGGAATGACACAATTTCATGTGTGCAACATCCAAAGACCTGCATCACTATACTGAGAGCTTTCTCGTTTCTAAAAGGACATATTTGGGTGTTTTTGGAGCCTTTGTTCAGGTTGTTTCAGGGCCCCCAAACTACACAACGAGGATGAGAAAAATAATTGTTGTTTGGGGTAAGTTTCTTGAAAACAAGTGAAATCACAAAAATGGTGTCTGGACCCTGCTATAACATACCATTTACATTTTTTAAAAAATATATAGATTTGGTTGTAAAAATAAAACTTCTCCTTTAAGTACTGTTGTCCATATGTACTGTGGTTTGCTAAGAAAGGTGTACTTGCTGTGCAATAACAAAATGAAGAGCACCGACTTTAAATAACATTATAACACACTAAAATTACTGACTTGAGAATCTGTGCAAACCAGCTGAGTGCTGGTCGTCGCCGGTACTTGTCGTCGTCAAAGTCGATCTGTGTCACAGAGCTGTGTCCAGAGCTGTAACCAGAGCTGGGACCAGAGCTGTGACCAGAGCTGGGACCAGAGTCCCGTGTGTCATAGACTTTCCTTGGGGTTGATGCTGGAAGCAAAAATAAACATCAAATGAATAACCAAATATGAGGATACAGCATACATTATACGCATGCATCTACATGAGGAATATCAGGTGTGTTATAAAAAATGACAGGAACTAAGATTAGAGTTGAGGCTTAGGTTTGGACTAGCCTGTAAGGCATGACAACACTGTGTGGTTAGTAAAAGTTATAATATGATAATAATAATATGCCATTTAGCAGACGCTTTTATCCAAAGCGACTTACAGTCATGCATACATTTTGTGTGTATGGGTGGTCCCGGGGATCGAACCCACTACCTTGGCGTTACAAGCCCTGTGCTCTACCAGCTGAGCTACAGAGGACCACAGCTACAGAGGACCAAGTTAGGATAAGTATAGTTCCTGCAAACCAGAGTAGCATTCATAGTCCTTTACCTGTGTGTAGGGTGATGGTGTCACTGGTGGTTGCAGTGATCATGTTGACCCCAGAGTGTTGTTCCTCTGCCACCATCGCCCCGTTGTTGTGGAGATGTCCATGATCTTCCTGTACTGGAGGTGGAACTAGAGTTGGGGCAGGGCTAGGGCTGGGGGTATAGGAGTGAGTGGGGTAAGCTTCAGTGGTCTCCAATGCTGGGGCTAGCACAGTGGGGGAGAAGGTAAATGTTACAGTAACCTTTCTGATTCTAACAAACAAATCGAACATTTAGCTTAGCATTATGTCATGATGCCTTCAGCTGCAATACAGGCTCCCGTTATTGTAGACCAACAAGGCAGTAACGGGACCGGAGACAATGACTCACCATCAAACGTGGACCAGTCAGCATAATCAGTGACATCCTGTTTGCTGTCTTGAATAGCTTCTACAGGTTCTTCAATCTTGCAGTGGAGAGAGTATGTACATGTTAGAGTTGAATTGTCACAGAATACTAATTTCATAATAGGTGCCTTCTTGAGTAAATGAAACATTTGATTTATGGCTCCTAAAACATTCATTCTAATGTAAGCTCTAAAATATTTTACACTAATATCATACACAATTTAATGTCGATACCCAGCATTTCAACCAGTATATCCCTGTCACATCACTATTCAATTTCTCTAACTGCTAGTGTGACCCAGCCCAACCCTATTCCTCACCAGAGGTAGGCCTAGTCCAGCTCTTGCCCAATTGACTAAGGACAGCTGTTCCCTCAGCATGTCAGCTATTGGGCTGGCCAGGTTGGAGGGGGGAAACACCGGACCCTGGCAGTTGGGGCACTGGTATCCCGCAGGAGCAGTGTGTAGGGGCAACCGGGCTGCCAGGTCATGAAGACAGGACCAGTGAAATACATCTTGGATACAGAGAAAGGGCAATGAATCAGGTGGGTTTGTGCAAATTCCACAGAGCAGAAATATCAAGCAACAACAATAATATGGAGAGAGTTCCTTTCAAAAAAGAACACGACTATACCAAATTCAATAAGAGCACAAAGGATAACAAATCCAAGATGTTGACAATCTTACCATAGCAGACCAATCTGACAGTATCCTGGGAGATCAGTGGGTTATTACACAGTCGACAGTTAGGGTTGTAATCACTATCCTGAAGCCACTGGAGATAGGACTGCACTATACACTGGTGATCAGAAGGGAGAGAAAATACTTCTTAGTTTAGTGGCAAACACAGCTACTATTAGTCCCTTTTAGAATCTGAGAGTGTAAGAAGTACACTCATCTCTAACATGTAGGCTCAACATTTCTGAATTGTCCCATCACAAGTCAGAATGTTGAATACACTTCATCCGGACTTACTTTACCTGTTGCCCACTGATTCTGTCCTCATGTCGGAGGTAATCTGAGACAATATAGCCACAGGGAACCGTTACTAATCCGGCCTTCAGCACGCCGTTTTGCACATGGTTCTGTCGGCTGGCACCTCCTGCCTGTACCTCCATCACCGACGCAATGCCGTTTAAGGGATTGTTAAATAAATCTTAACTGTTTGGTTGTAATATCATCACCTCTTGAAGAGCATAATCAGAACTACAAATGTCAGATTATTCAATGCAAAACAATTGCGCACATTTAGCTCTATCATCAGAGTTATACAGCAAGTAACCACATGCTTTTCAGTAAACATAATTGTATCATGTATTTTCAGATATGTGAGGTAGCCTCAAGATATCTCTCAATATTGGCCACCATGAATTGGATATTTGAGGGATATAAAATAAAAGTGAACTATACCTGACAAGTATGAGTGTTTCTTTAGGTTAATTTCCCATCCTTTGAGGGCTCTGCCTGTCAGGCAGCAGAAGGGCGCATTTACGATGTACTGTTAGCTGATAATGTTAACTATGCAAGCTACCAGTATAAACTTTGTACAGTTGGCTAAACATAGTGGTAAGTAGACCTAGCTAACGTACTTTTTTATTCAACCAACGTAGCTAGACCTATCTAGCAATGTTAGCTAACATTATCCCTTTTTTTAACATTGTTTTTAAGAGCGTTTAATAACGATTGCTGCTGACAGACATGATAGGCTACATTGATTAATGGACCACGTCAAATTAACTAGCTAGCTAATAACAGATCACGTCAACATAAGCTAACTTAGATGGCTATATGCAAATATTGTTAGATTTGCCCGCCATCTATAGTGGTGATGACATTAGTCCGACTGACAACATCACCAGGACAAGGACTTGCCGATGTCAAACTCTTTCCTAAACGGATAATCTCTGATGAAGCAAGCTAAATGACACGTTGTTTGCTTAGCTAGCTAGCTACTAGCCCAATATGTACTCTTAAGGAGCCTACCGTTACTCGTTAAGGTCCAAGGATCTTATGTTATTTTCAGAGGTGGACTGGCTCAGGCAGCCAAAACAGCCAAATTCTCCCATCTACACGTGAATCGATTCTCAATTGCGATAAGGTTCTAGAAACATAAAGCCCTTTACTTTCATGTCACATCAAAATAACATCACAAATGCAAAATATACACAGTTTTAACAGAGTTGCAGCCAACAATACCTTTCAGTGATAACACGTTTCTGGTGGCATTCCTCCGTTACACACAGGTGTTCGGAGCATGCTAGGTAGCACATGAGGTCCCTCTTCCGTAAACATGCGCTGTAACATGGAGATATGGCCGTGTGGGAACACTAACCCTATAAAAAGGTGTTTATCAATTTAACCTGATATGAAAGATAAGTTCCTTATGTTTCCAAAACTGTACCGCAAGTGATGCAAAGTAATGTTCAGGACGAGTGTCGGGTATCTTAGCAAAACTCCCCCGTATAGAAGACGCCTTCGTTCAATGACTTGTGTAATGTAATGGAACGGAGAGTCATGATTAAGGGCTAGCTAGCTACATGCCAATCGGATTGGCTACCCTCACTTATCTGAAATTACATGATCAATTGATTTTTAATGATCATGAAAAGCATGCAGTTACTTGCTGTATTACTCTGATGATAGAGTTACATGTGGAATAATCGGAAATGTGTTGTTCTGACTATGCTCTTCAAGAGGTGATGATATGAAAACTAAATCGTTTATTTAACAATCCCTTGAAAACGGGACATAGTTGTCAATGGTTTTAGCGGAGCTGGAAGTCTCCTTGCCTCCCAGCAGCCAAATCGAACGTTCTGCACCATATTGTGACGTTTTATTGATAACGACCTATATGGTCTATATTTAATTTCACATGACATGATACATTGAATATTTAGAGCTGTCCATCCACTGACCTTGTTGTGGTTGGAGACCAGGCAATGCTCACAAACATTCACCCGATGTTCAAAGCAGAACAGGTTGGTCACCTTCCTCTTAGGACACTTGCACAGACCCATGGTCTGTCTGTACTACAGAACACACAGATTCAGACACAAGTGACCACCAAAACAAGCTTCAGCAACGACATCATAGTTATGGGTATTATCTCTAAGCAATGTTCTGATATCCCAGGCAAATCTACTCATGGATCAAATGAAGTTTGATGATTACATATAGGTGTGTAAGACACTGCTTTTATGTATTGATCGATATAGCTAGCTACGCTAGTTCACTAGCATCAGATGTGTTTCGGGTGGCCTTAATTATAAGTTAGCTCAAACTTACCTGTTACGCAAGCTTTCTCCTCGATGCTTTTCGTGTGAAGGAAAGTGTTGTAGAAATACTGATGTTCTGCTCTACCAAGTTGGTTATCTAAATCGACAAAATGCGAATGTTTTCAGATGCTGACATTTTGCCACGTCTCTTCCGGTAGAGTCGCAGAATAATGATGTCACGTGAGCACGGCACATCTACCAGCTGGTCCTAGATTAGTTGGTACCGTTTTTAACTGAGGTTGTCAGGTAAAGATTGGTTTGGCGAGAGCTGATCAACGATAAGATTTTACATTAGAAAGAAATGCTAGGGCACATAATAGGCAAATAACCGCGCCCACATTACTGCCGCGTTCAAGACAACTCGGAAGCTTCGAGTTAAAATGTGCTTACTTCTTTTGTATAGAGCTTCATATTGGTTGATTCGGAAACTTTCCAAATAGGAAACTCGGATCTCATCTTTCTACATCGAGTTTCCAAGTCGGAATTGACGGAGTTCCGAGTTGTCTTGAACGCGGCATAAAATGTTCCATTTATTCACTATATATGCTGCGTTTAGACGAGGAACTCAAAAACAATAATACCAGTAGGTTTATGCCGCGTTCAAAACAACTGGGAAATATTAAATTCAATTCAAATGGCTTTATTGGCATGGGAAACATATGTTTACATTGCCAAAGCAAGTGAAATAGATAATAAACAAAAGATAAACAATCAAAAATGAAGAGTAAACATTGCACTCACAAGTTTCAAAGGAATAGACACATTTCAAATGTCATATTATGGCTATGTACAGTGTTATAATGATGTGCAAATCTCCGACTTCAGTGCGTTCAATACAACTGGAAACTGAAAAAAAACGAGCTCCGACTGTGGAAAATCGTTTTGAACGGTCATCCGCCTCGGAATTCCAAATCGAGAACTCAGACCTATTTCTAGAGCTCCGACTTTCCGACCTGACGATCACTGACGTCATGCTTTGACCTCGTATTTTTCCGAGTTCCCAATTGTCGTGAACGCACCAATAGCAGGACAAAAAAGCAATAAAGACTTGATGGCAAAAGCAAGCCAGCAAATATGTTTTACAACTAAACCAAGATAGATCACAGCCTGTCGTTTAAAACGGGAACAAATGAGTAATAGTGGACAGAACAAGCAAGGAGGTGGGCAGAGCCGAGCACGAGCAAGCGAGATCCTATTGGCGCGTTCTAGCGAACATCTGCATATTTCCGTTCCCGAACGCCTGCTCTGTGAAGTGGGCGTGTCCAATAACTCAATTCGCCTTTGCACTCCTTCTAAACAAGGCAATTTTTTAAAAACTTTTGCAAAGGGTAAAGTCTAATAAACTTAGTCCACTCTGTTCATAACACATTATAGTTTTGGGAACAGAAAACTGTATTGAAATCAAATGTTTCATCGATGAGAAAATGTGTAGAATGTCGGCCAAAATCCATCTCACTCCATGTTCTCCCACTGCCGGCTAGTGGGCTTCCTCTCACTACCATATTTGGTAGTGAGTGGAAACGCCAAGCGGATGCTTCACATTTATGCATCCGGTGAAATATCTGTCAAAGTGTTCTATCTGTGACTACAGTATGAGTCGCTATGGTGATTTCAGTAAACAAACAGTGCAACTCAACATCCAGTAGAAAACAACACTACGGCAAAAGTTGAAATATTTTAACTCTGGCGGCAAGCCCGTCTACCGTGGCGGCTGACGACATTCACCGACAGCCTCAACGGCATTTACCGTCATGCTCTCATTAAAAACAATGACATCCGGGTTGCCGTCTACCTCCAACAATGCAAACGCAGCGAAGATGTTTTAATAAATAACCCAAGAAAGACCACAGCCTGCCGTTTCCAATGGGAACAAATGAGTCACAAGGAGGGGGGCAGAGCCAAGCACGAGCTAGCGAGATCCTATTGGTGCGTGTAGTTGCATATTTTCGCCTACTCTATGAAGTGCACGTGCGCATTAACTAAATTCGCCCTTGCGCTCCTAAACAACGCAATTAAAAAAAAAAAAACGTTGGAAAAGGGTAAAATCTACAAATCCGTCTCCCTCCATCTTCTCCCACTGGGCTCCTCTCGTCACCGTATTTGGTAGTGAGTGGAAATGCCAACTGGATGCTTCACACTTATACATCCGGTGAAATATCTGGCTCATTTTTGTATCTGTGTGTTTATAGTAGGTCTTCTTCTTCTTTAAATTGAAAGGTGCATACACCGCCACCTACTATATATACAGTACCAGTCTAAAGTTTGGACACACCTACTCATTCCAGGGTTTTTCTTTATTTTTACTATTTTCTACATTGTAGAATAATAGTGAAGATATGAAAACTATGATGTAACACACATGGAATCATGTAGTAACCAAAAAAAGTGTTAAACAAATCTAAATATATTTTATATTTGAGATTCTTCAGTAGCCACCCTTTGCCTTGATGACAGCTTTGCACACTTACATTTACATTTACGTCATTTAGCAGACGCTCTTATCCAGAGCAACTTACAGTTAGTGAATACATATATATTTTTTTTATACTGGCCCCCCGTGGCATTCTATCAACCAGCTTCATGAGGTAGTCACCTGGAATGCATTTCAATTAACAGGTGTGCCTTCTTAAAAGTTATTTGGGGAATTTATTTCCTTCTTAATGCATTTGAGCCAATCAGTTGTGTTGTGAAAAGGTATTTTATTTATTTCATTTCACCTTTATTTAACCAGGTAAGCCAGTTGAGAACAAGTTCTCATTTACAACTGTGACCTGGCCAAGATAAAGCAAAGCAGTGCGATAAAAACAACAACACAGAGTTACATATGGGGTAAAACAAAACATAAAGTCAAAAATACAACAGAAAATATATATACAGTGTGTGCAAATGTAGCAAGTTATGGCGGTAAGGCAATAAATAGGCTATAGTGCAAAATAATTACAATTAGTATTAACACTGGAATGATAGATGTGCAAGAGAGTATGTGCAAATAGAGATACTGGGGTGCAAATGAGCAAAATAAATAACAATATGGGATGAGGTAGTTGGGTGGGCTAATTTCAGATGGGCTGTGTACAGGTGCAGTGATCGGTAAGGTGCTCTGACAACTGATGCTTAAAGTTAGTGAGGGAGATAAGAGTCTCCAGCTTCAGAGATTTTTGCAATTCTTTCCAGTCATTGGCAGCAGAGAACTGGAAGGAATGGCGGCCAAAGGAGGTGTTGGCTTTGGGGATGACCAGTGAGATATACCTGCTGGAGCGCATACTACGGGTGGGTGTTGCTATGGTGACCATGGAGCTAAGATAAGACGGGGATTTGCCTAGCAGTGATTTATAGATGGCCTGGAGCCAGTGGGTTTGGCGACGAATATGTTGTGAGGACCAGCCAACAAGAGCGTACAGGTCACAGTGGTGGGTAGTATATGGGGCTTTGGTGACAAAACGGATGGCACTGTGATAGACTACATCCAATTTGCTGAGTAGAGTGTTGGAGGCTATTTTGTAAATGACATCGCCGAAGTCAAGGATCAGTAGGATAGTCAGTTTTACGAGGTAGGGGGGGTATACAGAAGATAGCCCTATATGGTAAAATACCAAGTCCATATTATGGCAAGAACAGCTCAAATAAGCAAAGATAAACGACAGTCCATCATTACTTTAAGACATGAAGGTCAGTCAATACGGAACATTTCAAGAATTTTGAAAGTTTTTTCAAGTGCAGTCGCAAAAACCAGCCTCAGAAATTGCAGCCCAAATAAATGCTTCAAAGAGTTCAAGTAACAGACACATCTCAAAATCAACTGTTCAGAGGAGACTGTGAATCAGGCCTTCATGGTCGAATTGCTGCAAAGAAACCACTACTAAAGGACGCCAATAATAAGAAGAGACCTGCTTGGGCCAAGAAACACAAGCAATGGACATTAGACCAGTGGAAATTTGTCCTTTGGTCTGGAGTCCAAATTGGAGATTTTTGGTTCCAACCGCCGTGTCTTTGTGAGACGCAGTGTGGATGAACGGATGATCTCCGCATGTGTATTTCCCACCATAAAGCATGGAGGAGGAGGAGTGGGGGTGCTTTGCTGGTGACACTGTCAGGGATTTATTTAGAATTCAAGGCACACTTAACCAGCATGGCTACCACAGTATTCTGCAGTGATATGCCATCCCATCTGGTTTGGGCTTAGTGGGACTATCATTTGTTTTTCAACAGGACAATGACCCAACACATCTCCAGGCTGTGTAAGGGCTATTTTACCAAGAAGGAGAGTGATGGACTGCTGCATCAGATGACCTGGCCTCCACAATCCCCCAACCTCAACCCAATTGAGTGAAGGAAAAGCAGCCAACAAGTGCTCAGCGTATGTGGGAACTCCTTCAAGACTGTTGGAAAATATTCCAGGGGAAGCTGGTTGAGAGAATGCCAAGAGTGTACAAAGCTATCATCAAGGCAAAGGGTGGCTATTTGAAGAATCTCAAATATAAAATATATTTTGATTTGTCTATTTTGGGGATAAAACCACTATTTTGGTTACTACATGATTCCATATGTGTTAATTCATAGTTTTGATGTCTTCACTATTATTCTACAATGTAGAAAATAGTAAAAAACATAAAGAAAAACCCTTGAATGAGTAGGTGTGTCCAAACTTTTGACTGGTACTGTATATATTTCCTGATTTATTTTTATTTCACCTAGATTTAGGACACACACTTCAAAACCTTGTTTCTTATGATTTTTGACTGTCCTTTTTGCCATTTATGAATGTATTCAATGCGTTTCTATGGCTTTAGTAGCAGAGGCCAAAGTCAATATTTTATCAATTTTATATATATATTTTTTATACCTAAAGGGGTCCTAAAATTCAAAATCAAATAGCTAAGTGATCCATAGTATAACCATCTTAAAACAATTCCATATGTCAGCTTAGCACCCAACGGCTTAGACTCTAAATAATTAATTTAGAGAAGTTCTCCTGTTTAAGTGCTTGCCTGTCCAACTTTTTTTTAAATGATGAGATGAGTCTGTCAAATGTTATCTATTTTGTTGACTTAGTTAGAAAGCTAGCTATATGCCCCAATCTCAAATCAATCATCTATTTCCATAATTTCTATGTCTAACTTGCGAAGGGTAAAACTGCAGCCTGCAATTCGGGGTGTTCCTGCATGTGGGCGTTCCTGCATCTGCAGGAACCCCTCTTTATACTAAGTACCCTGGGACTAAACACCCCTCTGCAACTGGATCCTGGACTTCCTGACGGTCCGCCCCCAGGTGGTAAGGGTAGGCAACAACACATCTACCACGCTGATCCTCAACATGGGGGCCCCTCAGGGGTGCGTGCTTAGTCCCCTCCTGTACTCCCTGTTCACCCATGACTTCGTGGCCACGCATGACTCTAACACCACCATTAAGTTTGCCGATGACACAACGGTAGTAGGCCTGATCACCGACAACGATGAGACAGCCTACAGGGAGGAGTTCAGAGACCTGGCAGTGTGGTGTTAGGACAACAACCTCTCCCTCAACATGAGCAAGAAGAGCTGATCGTGGACTACAGGAAAGGGGGGGCCGGGCACACCCCCATTCATATCTACAGGTCTGTAGTGGAGCGGGTCGAGAGCTTCAAGTTCCTTGGTGTCCACATCACTAAGAAACTATCATGGTCCAAACACACCAAGACAGTCGTGAAGAGGTCACGACAATGCCCTCAGGAGACTGAAAAGATTTGTCATGGGTCCTCAGCTCTTCAAAAAATTATACAGCTGCACCATCGAGAGCATCCTGACTGGTTCCATCACCGCATGGTATGGCAACTGCTCGGCATCCGACCACAAGGCGCTACAGAGGGTAGTGCGTACGGCCCAGTACATCACTGGGGCCAAGCTTCCTGCCATCCAGGACCTCTATACCAGGCGGTGTCAGAGGAAGGCCCTAAAAATTGTCAAAGACTCTAGCCACCCTAGTCATAGACTGTTCTCTCTGCTACCTCACTGCTACCTCTCTGCTACCTCACGGCATAGACTGTTCTCTCTGCTACCCCCCCCATTTCAAATATTTTCTTACTTTAAAAAAATAATCTGCATTGTTGACTGAGGGCTTGTAAGTAAGCGTTTCACGGCAAGGTCTACACATTTACATTTTAGTCATTTAGCAGACGCTCTTATCCAGAGCGACTTACACCTGTTATATTCGGCACATGTGACAAATACAATTTGATTTGATACTTCTATTGGTCCTTTTTTAAGCTATTACTCCAGTACATAGGCGCTCCATTACAGTAGATGGCAGTAATGCACCATAAGGTTAGATGCCAACCGCGATAAACCCTACAGAAGAAGAAGAGGGGTGGTAGCTAGCTATAGCTAGTACACACCGTTAGTGTCCTTCGCCCCTGCCTGATGGGCACGGTTTTCCCGCCGTTCTGTCAACGACGGCAAGGGCAGATGTTCGGCAGGCGGGAGCGAAGGACACTGTGCTCAAGGGGTGGAGGGGGGTGTTCATGAATTGCAGGCTGCAGTTATAAACGATTGCCTATCTTCCCCATGTCTTTACATATTGAGGCATACAGCTGGATCTTCACAACAGATGGCTTTGGACATGGACTCATCAACACATTAGACCAGGGGTGTCAAACGTCCGGCCCGCGGGCCGGATCAGGCCCGCAAACGGGTTTAATCCGGCCCGCGAGATGATTTTGTAAAGTATAAAAATTAGCTGCAATTTTTCAATAAAATAAACTGCTGTTCCAATTGTGTCCACTGGATGGCGCAATAGCAATTGTGTTAAGCAAGCGAACTGTTTATACCGGGGCAGAGCAAATAGGTCAAGCAAGTGCAGCCAGTCCGGATGAGCTACTTTGTTTTGCCCGCAATATTTATTACGGCTTCTACTTTTAACATTATGTGCTTTGGCACCCTCATTGCCCCAATATGTCTCTGTCAAAAAAGAGAAAAGTGGACGCAGAGTGCAGAGTGTTCCAAGAAAAATTGTCATCCTTCTATTTATTCACGGAATTGAATGGGAAAGCTGTATGTTTGGTGTGTTCACAGCATGTTGCAGTGCTGAAAGAATATAACCTTTGTCGCCACTATGTGAGTCTTCATGCCGACAAATATGACAACTTTCAAGGACAGCGGAGAAGAGAGAAGGTGAATGAACTGTTGGTGGGTCTGAAGAAACAGCAGTCTGTGTTTACTCACAGCCGAGACATCAGTGACGCTGCAGTGAAAGCTAGCTACCTCATTGCTAATGAAATCGCAGTGGCTTCAAAACCATTTAGTGAGGGTGAATTTGTAAAAACATGCATGATGAAGGCAGCAGAGATTGTGTGCCCTGAAAAGCACCAGGCTTTTGCAAATATCAGCCTGACAAGAAACACAGTTGCAGACAGGATTTCCGATCTTTCAGTGGATTTGGACAGCCAGTTGAAGCAAAAAGTAAAGTCATTTATTGCGTTTTCGGTTGCAATTGATGAAAAGCACGGACATTACAGATGTTGCACGGACATTACAGATGTTGCACAACTGGCCATTTTCATCCGCGGAGTTGATGACACATTGACCGTCACCGAGGAGTTCGTGGAGTTGGTGCCGATGACAGATACAACGACAGCAGCTGATATTTTCACTGCACTCGTCGGCGCGCTGGACAGGGTCGGAGTGGACTGGTCCCGCGCTGTCAGCCTGGCTACAGATGGTGCGCCCTCAATTATCGGGAAAAAAGCAGGCGTTGTGACATAGTTCAGAGAGAAAGTGCAATCTGCAAATGGAGGACGTGATTTTTGGACTTTTCACTGTATTTTGCACCAGGAGGCTTTGTGTTGCAAGTCATTAAAGATGGATAACGTCATGAAGGTGGTCATCCAAACTGTTAATTTCATCCGATCCAGAAGCCTGAATCACCGTCAGTTTGACAGCCTTCTCAGAGAGAAAGACCACATCTATGGCCTGCCATACCACACTGAGGTAAGATGGTGAAGCCGAGGTGCTGTGCTGAGGCGTTTCTTTGATTTACGAGAAGAAATTGAACAGTTCATGGAAGAAAAGGGCAAACCAGTGTTAGAATTTAATTCTGCAGAATGGATGCAGGACCTTGCATTTATGGTGGATGTTACAGAGCACCTGAATAACTTGAACAAACAGCTGCAAGGGCGCAACAAAGTTGCCATGCAGTATTATGACAGCATACGTTCTTTCAAGTTGAAGCTGTCATTGTGGGAGACGCAACTTGCCGGTGGTGATGCAGCTCACTTCCCCTGTCTGAAAAATGTGTGCGCGACCCAACATGTGGCAGACATGAAGCGGTTGAAAGATAAAATAACGGGACTGTTAAGGGAGTTTGAGCAACGCTTTCAGATTTTTGGTGAACTGGAGAAAGACTTCAAAGTTTTTTGTTCGCCATTCACCGTGAATCCCTCGGATTTGAAGGGCAAATTTGCCGCAACTGGCTTGGACACATTTTATCAGAATCTCTTGCCAGGTTATCCCAACTTGACAGCCCTCGCTGCAAAACTGTTGTGCATGTTTGGAACCACATATCTTTGTGAGCAAGTTCTCTGTAATGAGCATAAATAAAACAAAGCTGCGCTCAAGGCTCACGCACAAGCACTTGAATCACATCCTGAAGTTGGCTGCCACTCAGGATGTGACGCCTGATATTGATGCACTGGTGAAAGCTAAAAGTTGCCAGGTATCAGGAGTCAAATAAAATATGCAACCCCACTTAAAGTGCTGCATGAGACACCCTGATATAGTTCTGTGATCTGTGAAATACTTCTGTGAATCACTGAGGCATTGTGTGTTTGTGTGTTGTTTGTCCTCAGAATTTCAAATAACTTGAGGTGTTTTATGATTAATAATGATGTTGTGCTTTTGGACACACTGTCCTCAGGCTCCAGCTTTATGTTTATATGTTTTTATGTTGATGTGCTATTGTTTTTAATTGTTTTTATTTTATTTGTATATTTAACCTATTCTTGACTCTGTGGTTCTTGCACTTGCTTGGGGAACAGGATTTCATTATTTGTATCTACATTTCTGCCTGAGAAATGACACCCTGATATAGTTCTGTGATCTGTGAAACAGTTCTGTGAATCACTGAGGCATTGTGTGTTTGTGTGTTCTTTTTCTTTAGAATTTTCAAATAAACTTGAGGTGTTTTATGATTAATAGTGATGTTGTGCTTGTACTATTTTGGACACACTGTCCTCAGGCTCCAGCTTTATGTTTTATGTTGATAGTATTAAAACAAAGAAAACAATCTGAAGTTGTTGTTTTTAAGTTATATATACCATGATTTTACCGGTCCGGCCCACTTGGGAATAGATTTTCCTCCATGTGGCCCCTGAGCTAAAATGAGTTTGACACCCCTGCATTAGACTAAAAACTACTGTCACCTCAACTACCAGTCAAGGGACTTTACCAGTCAATGGACCAGTCAAGTCATGTTGCTACTAGCTACAAAGATCACACACCATTGTAAACTGTATAAAGGGAAGCATTCTTTGTCTTATCATAGCAGATTCTACCAGCCAGCCATGAAGGAGGTCAGTGCGGTTGACCTCTCCAAATGATAATGTCCCCAACTCTGTGAGTAGTACCTTTGTCAGCAGCTAGAACTAAACACCACCAGTCTTTCTGAACCAGTAACATTTCAATTTACCTATTGACATAGTCAAACTGCATCCTGCAAACATCTTCAGTAGTTTGTCGAAATATGTTACTGTAATCCACAGGCTCCTACAGATGCCGCAAAACGTCCCATCACTGTGAGGAAGATTGCACCCAGGAAAACACAAGTCAATGTGAGTTGAAAGAACACAGCAAATCGGTTTCCAGAATAAGCTGCATAGTTAAAAAATGTTTGGTTCTTCTGCTATTTCATATCAGCCCAGTCATATGTGCACAATTGCTTTTGTTTCAGGTCCCCTCGGAGGACAACAAAGAAAATGAATAAAGATTGTCTGAAGGCAGTCGGAAGAAGCTCCGAATTTCTACCCCAGGACCTACCCAGGTTCCCCCACCAAAAGCCACCATGCTCTCCCTGATCTTGGCCCCCTCACCCCCCTGTCCCCAGGCTGCAGCAAACCCAGAGGACTCAGCATGGTCACAGAAGGTGCGGCGGTCCTATAGCCGCCTAAGCCTAGGGGATCCTTCGTTTGAAAGTCCCCAGGCCGTGTCCTCCCTATCTCCTCAGCATCGGGAGACCCTGTTTGGGTTTGAGAAGCTTCAGACACCCCAGGTTCTCTGCAAGGTGGAGCAGTTCAGAGTGGGCCCTGAGGCTTCCAGGTCTCTCTGTGGGGTCAGCTCCTTCACCCTGCTGGAAGGGGACGACAGTGCTGCCACTGCTCCTGACCCTGAGCCAGATGTCAACATCCCTGGGGTCGCTGTGTTAAAGGAGAAGAGGAGGAAGAAGGTTCCTCAAATAAAAGTAAGTGAGGACATATGATGCTACTGCAGTCACTGTTGACAACATTGATGGACAACTAAACCATAGTAGGCTAGAGTGTACTTTACCACTTAACAAGATATGAAAAGCAATGCGTATGGCTCGCTTACACTATTTTCAAGATGGAGATGTGCAAGAAGCTGTAGCATTTGTACCTTTGTGTTGATCTACTTTTCAATTTATTTCCCAACCAGCTGGCAGAGCTGGACGACCTTGCGGCAAAGATGAATGCAGAGTTTGAAGAGGCAGAAGGATTTGAATTGTTGGTGGAATAAACTCATGGGTCATCTACAAAGACTTTGGCATGTGACTAGAAAGCCTTGTTTCTAATACTGGAGAACATTAATGTTTTTCATTTCCATTATTGAATTTCAAAGACGATGAAGAAGAGGCACCTATGGGAAAAACAAACGGGATTCATTTACAAGACAGAAATGTTGATTTTTTACAGTTGGAAATGTCAGATTGGTATCATCAACAATTACCTAATGTAATTTTTGTATCTCAAGAAAGGATTCTAGCTTCAGTGAAGTTCCTGTCACTTTGATATGTTGATGTTGATAGTTATTTATTTTCCATTTGAAATTACAACTTCATTAGGTCACTGAGACATCATTTTGTGTTGATGAGCACCCTTTATAGTTGATATTATTTGCTAAATCGTTCAGTTGGATTACAGGTGTGTTTTATCATATAAGACTTATTTGCAAAGCATATTCTGTGATGTTGAGATTACAGCTGTTTTTTTTAAAAAACTTTGTTCATTTCCTAAGTGTTAGAAGAAGTCCATACTAATCATCTTCATCATGCCTGCATATCATGAATCCACCTATCACATTTTGTTCCCTAGAGGTTGCACTCACCCTCTCATTGTGGCTTCTTCCACCACTGTTATGTTATTTTGTATTAGTGTAATTGGAATTAGTATCTTTATTCCTCACGTCGATGATAGTTTAGATGTTAGTGATTAAGACTTCTACTATCTGATCACATTTATTATCTGATCACTACGCATTTGGTATAACAACTGTTATTGGTATAATGACTGTGATGCATTCATTATAGTCATTCATTTTGATATTTTAAAGATACTTTTTGAAGGAACATTTTACATGTCCATTTGTTTATCTTGAGTGTCAATGTTCTAGGTCTCCGAAATAACATTGTCCTTTAGAATTTAAGGAGAAAACACTTGATTTCTGAGTTATATAACCTTTGGGTTGGGTTTCACATTAGCCCCACACTGCTTTAACCTTCTGTTCTCTTTGCTGGAGGGTGACATCAGTGCAGTGCTGACATTGATTGCGAGTGGAGGGCTGTGCTGTATCACACAATTGATAATCGATTCAGGGAAAGGGGCTGCGGGCGATGGACAACTACAGACTCTAGTATTGCATGGCTATAACTGCAGAGATAGACAGACCGGAGACAAATTATTGTCTATATTACTGGTGTCAAACATCCCAGAAGCTATTTGTATTTGTACCTCTGTACTTAACTGTCAGGGTCTAGTGATATGAGAAGAAGATGTGATCATTCATTGCAAATAATCGTGTTTCCTGGTATGTGGTTGCTTGTGTCATGCCATTGGAATTCAATGGTATTCTCGATGCCTTGCTTTTTAGTTATCATGGTGACTATTGCAGTGACACAATAGGGGCAGGCACGTCAATAGCAAGCTGGGCAGTAATAACCAGTCAATCTCCTAAACACGGAAATCCACACAGTTTAATTGTATTCATAGATAAAAACTTAAAGGGCAACATATTTGATCAAGTTCAGAGACATTTTTGTTTCAGTTTAAACTTAACATAAACAATGAGTTCTTGAATATTATAATTGAGTTTGTGAATAAACTCCGTCCCCCAAGCATGTTGCACAAATGACACAAGTCTTTTAAAATTTAACATTGCCCATACCATGTGACTTGAATAGACTAGCTGACCAATGCTTTACTTTATTATGCATCACAAAAATAGAAAAAGCTAGACTGTTTTGTCTATTAAGTAGCTTGTGTTTTGAAATAGCTTGGGGCTAATGGGTGGGTGCAAAGGATTTATTGATGTGTCTGTGGTGTGTTTCATGCACGCTCCAGCGCAATTGGAAAATGGTTTCATCAGATTTAGAGTGCCAGCAGAAACCTAGTACAAAACATCAATGAGCATCTCAGCTTGTGTCATTCTTGTGGGTTCTCTGATAGAGTATGTGCTGGCACTCACTGCTTATGTGGTTTAGGATAATAACTGAATTCATTATTAAGATCAAGTTAATTATTCCTGATAAAGATTCTTGAATTACTGGCACATCTAAATATTTTCAAACAATTTTTTAGGTAAGTCTGACTGATTTTACGGATTTGAGATTGATGGTATTTGCTGATATGTTTTTGAATTTCCTCTTTAAATATTTCAATAATAACGCAACATATGTTATTTGTTTTGTAACAGCTGAATTTAGGAACAAAAATTGTTGTACTTGATGCAAGATAATGTGGTAAATGGCCTTTTTTAAGTCAGCATAACTATTGCGCACTTATGAATGTGTTCAGTTTGAATTAGCTCACAATAAATGATTCAACATGTAATGTCCTAACTTTGCTATAATTATATGGCATTTTTCCAAACAGTTGAGCTCTGGTCCAGAAACTATTTTTGAATCATCAGAAAAAATCAAGGAAATACACCCATAACACAGGGAGAGGAATAGTTTGAAGACATTAGTTGCAGACTGCACGGCAAGCAAAGGAAAAGATTGTTACTGCACCCTGGACTACCACACAGAAGCAGTGGAGGACTTAGGTCTGGGGAAGCAGCAGGTGATGGAGAAGTACTTCACTCCCGTGCAGCTTAAGCAGGGGACCAGGGGCCACAGGCACAGCAAGCCCCACCTCCATGACCATCAAGAGAGGGGCCCCGAGCATGGCAAGATGGCTGACCAAAAAACGTATCAACACAAACACCATCCCCGCCACCACCACAACCATGATCATCATCACCATCCTCATCCCCACCACCACCAGAAAAAGCCAGATTGGTCAGAGGATCAGAATGATCATGGGTATGTTTGATTACATTAGTTTATTAGTTAACTAAGTTCTGAAATCTTGTCTGGATGGAACTGTAATTTCTTGTTTTGGTATTCAACATTTTGGAAATTGTACATATTTTGATGAATATTATGCAGATGTGACAAAATGATCTTGTGCTAGTTAATTTAACCAATGCTGCATTATAGTAAAGCGTGTAACTCAGCCCTAAGAGTATGGTCTCTGCCTCAGTGAAATACTGAACACTGCTGTCATTGCGTTCTCCTCTTGCAGTAGCAACCATTCAACATCAGAGGGCAGCATTGTCCACCACCATCACCATGGCCACAACAATCACCCTCACCACCAAAATGAGAAATCTCATCCCTCTTCCCCTGACCATCCTCATCATCACCATCCGCATCACCATGCTACAGATGTGACCTCCCACCCTCAGGTTGCAGCAACCTCATCCTGCTCCTCCTCTAGTTCCTCATCATCATCTTCCTCCTCTTCCTCCTCTTCCTCCTCATCATCCTCTTCCTCCTCGTCATCCTCTGGCTCTTCCTCCACCTGGTCCTCTCAGACCAGTATTAATGAGTCCGTGAAGGATAACAAACATCCACTGCAGAAGCCCAAGTACTCACAGTCCTGCACCGACATCTACAGGGGGAGGAAGGCCAATGACGAGGAGGAAGATGAGGAAGATGACACCTCTCCTTTGATAGATGATGAAGGCCATCTCCCAAACCAGGAAAAAAAGAAAAAGAAAGCAGTGTCCTCTCATCAGACCCCTGCCAATGTCATCCGGAAGAAGCAGGAGAGTGCTGAAGGGGCAGGAATGGCTGGAAAATTCCGCAAGGCAAAGTCAATGGAGGCACTGTCCCATTGTAAGGACAGGGATGGAGATACAGATAACATTGTAGACAAGGAGTTGGAGAAAAGGAAGCAGATAGCCAAGAAGAACTTAGTGAAGGAAAAATTGAAGTTCTCTGCCTTTTTGAACGAGATCACTAGGCAGGTGTTTAGTCCGTACAGACTCACCTCTCTTGGAGTCACAGCTGCTAACAGGCCCAGCAGCCCTGGACAAGCCTCCCTGAGGTCCCCCAAGGTGGAGCACAGAGGGGAGGAGATGCAAAGACAAAATAGTAGTCAGCCTGGCAGTGCAAGCTCTATGACCTTCAGTGTCCGTTCCAATATCAGCAGGCAGTCCCGCTCCAGCAAGCACTCTCATTCCAGCAAGCACTCTCGCTCCCATCTCGGCAAACACCAGGACCACCAGGACCACCAACACCATCAGCCTGCAAGAGACATGCACCACAGTCCCAGCAGCCACACGGATGACAGCACTAGCCCAGATAATAGCCCCTCCTCATCAAGACATCACTCCCGTTATTCAACACCACAGCACCATCATCACCAGCATCGCTCCCATTCTCCATTTCACCACCATCACCATCACGGAGGTCTTCACAGTCCATCTCATCCCCATGGAGACCACCACAGCCCAAAGCATCACCATGTAGACCATCACAGCCCAACTCACCCCCATCACCATGGAGACCACCACAGCCCACCTCATCAGCATGGAGCTCAACATGACCCAACTAATCACCATCACCATGGAGACCATCACAGCCCAAGCCATCCCCATCACCATGGAGACCACCACAGCCCAACTCATCCCCATCCCCATGGAGACCACCACAGCCCAACTCATCCCCATGGAGACCACCACAGCCCAAGAAACCCCCATCGCCATGGAGACCTCCACAGCCCAAGCCATCCCCATCGCCATGGAGACCACCACAGCCCAACTCATCCCCATCCCCATGGAGACCACCACAGTCCAACCCATCACCATGGAAACCACCAAAGTCAAACTCATCCCCATAGAGACCACCACAGCCAAATTCATCCCCATGGAGACAACCACAGCCCAAGCCACCTCCATCACCATGGAGACCTCCACAGCCCAACTCATCCCCATCACCATGGAAACCACCACAGCCCAACCCATTCCCATCACCATGGAGACCACAACAACCCAAGCTACCCCCATCACCATGGAGACCATCACAGCCCAACACATCCCCATCAACAGGGAGATCACCTCAGCCTGAGTCATTCCGATCACCATGGAGATCACCACAGCCCAACTCATCCTCATCACCATGGAGACCACCACAGCCCAACCCATCACCATGGAGACCACCACAGCCCAACTCATCCCCATCACCATGGACACCACCACCATCCTCTCTACCCAGATTCCCACCATCGCCATGGCTCCCATCCAGAATTGCACCACCACCATCATCCGTCTCACCCTGAATCCCACGATCACCACGGCTCCCATCCAGAATCTCTCCATCACCATGGCTCCCATCCAGAATCTTGTAACCACCATGGCTCCCATCCAGAATCTCTCCATCACCACAGCTCCCATCCAGAATCTCACGATCACCATGGCTCCCATCCAGAATCTCTCCATGACCACAGCTCCCATCCAGAATCTCACGATCACCATGGCTCTCATTCACAATCTCTCCATCACCATAGTTCCTATCCAGAATCTCTCCATCACCATGGCTCCCATCCAGATTCTCTCCATCTCCACAGCTCCCATCCAGAATCTCTCCATCACCATGGCTCCCATCCAGAATCTCTCCATCACCACCATAGTTCCCACCAAGATTCTCACCATCAACACCACCCCTCTCATTCAGAATCTCATTCTGAACCCCATCCCAGCCCTAGCAACCTAGAATCTCATCATCACCACCATCCTTCCCACCATGAAGCCCATCACCACCAACCTTCCCATTCTGAATCTCACCACCATCCCTCACGTGCAGACACACACCACCATCATCATCATGACGATCACCACAGCCCATCAAGCCATTCTAAGGAGAACTCTCCTGTCAGTGTATCAACTGCAGAGCCGGAGTCATTGTTCCATTCCAGCAAGTCTTCCAGGAATACCACCAGCCCCACGAATCAGGACGAGCAGCAGACAGGCTACAGCGGCTCAGCTGCCTCTCTACATAAAGTATGACTGCACCGGGAGTTGGGTTTATCACTATTGTTAGTTATGTCATGCATTATCTACTGTACACTGTATATTTATTGACCAGTTTGTACCGTTGCACGTGTTTTACATTCTTAATTAAGCAATTATGTAAGAATATTCCATTCATTTGCTTTCCATTGATTGTGGCATTAAACATGCAGGCACCTACCTACAATCCCCGAGCCGACTAGGTAAAAAATCTGTCGGTGCCCTTGAGCAAGGCACTTAACCCTAATTGCTCCTGTAAATCGCTCTGGATAAGAGCGTCTGCTAAATGACTAAAATGTAAATGTAAATAATCATAGATGACACATCAAAAAGTGATCACATGCAAACTCACGTGTGTTAAATTATCACACTTTGTGTCACTATTGGTTATCAATGTCTAATAACTGGAAGCTGCAGAATCCATTTCTATTTATGAAATGCACGTTGTTGACGACTGTAAAAATCAATTTCTGTTTTGTCCTTCCCATACAGGAAGGATCTGAGGTTGATCGAATAATGTGAGTTTGATTTTATGTTTAATTTTATCTCTGTCTTGTTGCTTATTGGTGGAATAATTTTAATAGACAATGTAAAATACAAATCTGTTCCATGTTATTGTTGTTTAACAAATGAATAAATGTTTCATTAAGATACTAATTATTATCTAACTGAGCACTAACCCCTCTCCCCCCTCCTCTCTCCTACTCCCTTCAGGATGCTTCAGGGGCAAAATAAGGATCTGCACCACAGTTTGCTCCAGACTGCCGTGCGAATGGAGTGCATGGGGACTGAGTTTAAGAGCAGTCACCAGCTCCTTGAGTCAGAACTACAGAACACACGTGTGGAGCTGAGCAGCCTCCTGGACAAATTCAAAAGGTCAGGGGGGGGGGTTGTAAGTAATTGGGATGGGTACCTCAGAATTAAAAGGGGGTTCAGGGAGGAAAATCAGTGTGGCAGTTCCAATGTTATTTCATTTGCCATTCATTTTGAGTTGATATGCATGACATTGACAAGCTTAGCTGTAACTCTGACAATCCTTCTCTCTCTCTCTCTCTCTCTCTCTCTCTTGCATTTCAGACTTAGGGATAACTACTCCTACACTCAACAGACCAATAATCTCTTGGAGCGGAAGCTTCATTCAGTGGTGAGGCACCAGCAGATGGCTCATTTGACTTTTTTAAGTCAATAGAAGTACATTTTTTAAGTATCTGGAAAATTATATTACAATTGTTGTCTTATGTGTGTGATTTGTCAGGCTCAGAGTATGGACGGGGAGCGTGAGCATCTGAACCAGCGCATCACAGCCCTGACAGATCAGCTGTCCTCAGCCAAGTCCACCATCCACAGCATGGAGACTATTAATGTGAGAACTCCTCCTGATGAACAGATCTAGCTGAGACAAAAAGACAACCTAAAATGTGCGCAAAACCAGATCAGAGTGGCCAAGTACAGCGAAATACTGTTAGTACAGGCCCTGAATCAAATTCGCCTGACCTTTATGATCCCCTGACCCTCCAGCCCCAACCTTGGAATGCATTGCAGTAAGAATTAGCTGTAGTGTATGGCATGCACTTACACAATGTTAGACCTTTACACTCGTACCCTAAATTGGAACATAGTGGCTGTACAGTAACATGCTATACATGACGTCACAGCTCTGCATGGGTTTTGACTGACAGCCGATCTGAACTTGAGCACAGTGCGACAAGAAGTTTCCCCATCTCTCCCGGTAATTGGCCAACTTTTGCACCATTTTTTTGGTCTGAGCGAGGGAAATGCTGTATATTAATATGACTAGATGCATTTTGAAAGATGAGACGTTGAGGATTATAATAAATACCGCTTTGATGTCATACAAGCAAGCCAAAAACTTGTGAGTCCAAATGTGCACTTCACATCTCCAAATCATAAAACTCATGTCATATACAGATATAGGATCTTAATTTGATCACTCTTTTGTTGCTGATCATTTTCATGCACAGCAGGAAATGCAAACTTGTAGTGCATTCAAAGTTTATTAAAAAGACTTCTAAAGTTTGTAATTTCCACTTTAAAATGTCAGACTTGATTTGCCCTAATGAAAAATGTATCAACCCCTAATTTCTTAAAATATGAATTATAATCCACATAATAATTCACATTTCCTGTTGCTGCAGGATTATTTTCCTGCTGTAGCAAACTGGCTCAAATTAAGATCCTACATCTATCTGTACAGTGTCAACATTTATGATCACTATGTTTGATGTACAGTTAATGGCGTCATACCCTGAGTTGTTCTGAACGGAATGAGCCTATGTTTGTTTATTGTGAAGAACATTTGCCACCGCGCACCTGACTGCACTCATGACTCCTTTCTATCCGCACCAAAATTATTATCTGTTTCTCTGAATTGACTTTTGGAAGCCTAACACTGTAAGATCGTATTTTATAACTTAGCTAGTCATGTTGGCAATAGAACAAGCTTTCAAATCATGCCCACCTGACGCAGATTGCGATTTATAATGGTCCGATTTTGGATCGCGAAAACAACAACAGTAATTTTGTGATGGCTGGAGATGCAGAGTTGTGTTCCAAACGAAACAACTACAAGTGTGTTTGCTCTAGTTCCTCGACGGCACAGCTAGGAGAGCTAAATAAAAGTAGGGTATAGTTGCAGACTCTTCTATGAGTCATAGAAGTACATTGAAATTGCTTTGGAACTGTGCACACTTTGGAGAGGTGTGGCCACTTGGCGACACCAGTTAGTCCTCTCACTCAAACCCTTGTCATTTCTTTGTCTTATGTTGCACCTACTCCACATTTTCCAGGAATAGTCTTATCATGTTGATGAATGATTTTCTGATTTCGTTATGAACAAATGCGGCGAAAAGCACAGTAAATGTAAAATGCACTTAAATCAAAAGTGTAATGTTTGGATTCAGTCTTGTGTCAGGTGAACTGTTGTGCACGCACCTTTGGTCTAATCATTTTTCCATTATCTCCAAACTGTTCCCATTCTATTGCTACCATGGTTATGTATATGCTTTTTATATTTCTTGTGTAAGAAACATTTCAATTTAGCCCTAACCGTATAGGTCAATTCCCACGAGTGTAATGGGTTAACGAATTGTAACTACACTATATATACAAAAGTATGTGGACACCCCTTCAAATGAGTGGATTAGGCTAATTCAGCCACACCCGTTGCTGAAAGGTGTATAAAATCGAGCACACAGCCATGCGATCTCCATAGACAAACATCATAATGGCCTTACTGAAGAGCTCAGTGACTTTCAACGTGGCACCGTCATAGGATGCCACCTTTCCAATAAGTCATTTTGAAAAAATTCTGCCCTGCTAGAGCTGTCCAGGTCAACTGTAAGTGCTGTTATTGTGAAGTGGAAACGTCTAGGAGCAACAACGGCTCAGCCGCGAAGTGGTAGGTCACACAAACTCACAGAATGGGACCGCCGAGTGCTGAAGTGCATAAAAATCCTCTGTCCTCGGTTGCAACACTAACTACCGAGTTCCAAACTGCCTCTGTAAGCAACGTCAGCACAATAATGGGGCGGCAGGTAGCTTAGTGGTTAAGAGCGTTGTGCCAGTAACCGAAAGGTCGCTGGTTCTAATCCCCGAGCCGACTAGGTGAAAAATCTGTCTGTGCCCTTGAGCAAGGCACTTAACCCTAATTGCTCCTGTAAGTCGCTCTGGATAAGAGCATCTGCTAAATGACAAAAAATGTAAATGAAAAAAAAAAACTGTTCATCGGGAGCTTCATAAAATGGGTTTCTAAGACCGAGCAGCCGCACACAAGCTTAAGATGTGCAATGCCAAGCGTCGGCTGGAGTGGTGTAAAGCTCGCCGCCATTGGACTCTGGAGCAGTGGAAACACGTTCTCTGGAGTGATGAATCACGGTTCACCATCTAGCAGTCCGACGGAAAAATCTGGGTTTGGCGGATGCCAGGAGAACGCTACCTGCCCGGATGCATAGTGCCAACTGTAAAGTTTGGTGGAAGAGGAATAATGGTCTGGGGCTGTTTTTCATGGTTCGGGCTAGGCCCCTTAGTTCCAGTGAAGGGAAATCTTAATGTTACGGCATACAATGACATTCTTGTGCTTCCAACTTTATGGCAACAGTTTGGGGAAGGCCCTTTCCTGTTTTAGCATGACAATGCCCCCGTGCACAAAGCGAGGTCCATACAGAAATGGTTTGTCGAGATCGGTGTGGAAGAACTTGACTGGCTTGCACAGAGCCCTGACCTCAACCCCATCGAACACCTTTGGGATGAATTGGAACGCCGACTGTGAGCCAGGCCTAATTGCCCAACATCAGTGCCCGACCTCACTAATACTCTTGTGGCTGAATGGAAGCAAGTCCCCGCAGCAACGTTCCAGCATCTAGTGGAAAGCCTTCCCAGAAGAGTGGAGGCTGTTATAGCAGCAAAGGGGAGACCAATTCCATATTAATGCCCATGATTTTGGAATGAGATCGTTGACGAGCAGGTGTCCACATACTTTTGGTAATGTAGTGTATGTTCCTCTTTGTATAGTATAAAATGTCTCCTTCATTTCACCACCCACATCTCCCATTAGTTTTACCTTTTGTTTATTCCTCAAGCCCATTTTAGTTCAGAGTGAAACCACCAATAGAAATCATTGTTTTTGCTTTGAGCTGCATGTAGTTAGTAAATGCTGTTTTACATAGCCCGTTGTTTCTAAAGCCCATTGTTATAGAGCTATGAGTTGTCCTTTAGTCTTGACTCAGCTTTTTTCTTTATGTATTTTTTCTTGATGTACAATTGTTCATTATTCATTGTCATAACAACATAACTGTATTCTGTTCTGTGTTATCCATTTTCATCCCTTAGGTAACATCCTTGCTGCAGGAAGCCCTCGACAAACATTTCCACCCAGATGATTCTGTCAATCAATTCCTTCTCCCTGTTGCCCCCCCTCCAGTCCAATTCATGGATAGTCATCATTATGGAAAGGTCACCACCAAAGGGGAGGACCTATCACTGGGAACATTGCCAGAAGAGGAGGAATCTGATTGGTCGGAAATGGGGGATGAGGCACCAAAATGCATTCTGAGGTCAGTGGGAGGTCATCATGGTGGCACAGCGTTTCAACCGTGGAGACAGGAGCGTATTTGCTGGGAAGGACAGGGAGAGGGAGACACAGAGAGTGAGTCAGGGGGTGAGGAGATTGTCAGACGACACCCTCCCCGCTCCCTGCAAATCCCCAATCTCCATGTCACCATTCACTCTGAGACCTTACCAGCCCCCATGGATGATGTCACCCTCACCACCAGCTTCAAGAACTCAGCTGATGGCCCAGAGGAGGACGGGTACAGGGTCACTGCGAGCCGCAAACTGGGCTCTCCCATCCGCATTCTGTCAGCCAGTCTGGATGAGATCCCCTCCTCCAGGGGGCAGAAGCACAGACAGGAGGAGCAGCATGGCCAGCTGAAGGGCACAGAGGCCATGATGGACCTCCACCAACCAGAGGACGGTACCATGGACGACTCAGAAGATGAGATCATCCGTAACTGGAGGACAAGGAGCGAGGACATGGGTGATGATGGAGGTGTGGATGTCAGAGAGGTAGATCTTGGCAGCAGCTTGGACAATCTGCAGTCGGCCCAAAATATGCTCAATCACTTCATCTGCCAGCTGCAGCCTAGTGTGGAGGAGGGGCGGGGCTGGACCGGAGGGGTGCCGGACGAAGTGCTGAATGGGGAGAGAACACAGCTGTGACACCTGATCTCTTCACAGAGAACACAGCTGTGACACCTGATCTCTTCACAGAGAACACAGCTGTGACACCTGATCTCTTCACAGAGAACACAGCTGTGACACCTGATCTCTTCACAGAGAACACAGCTGTGACACCTGATCTCTTCACAGAGAACACAGCTGTGACACCTGATCTCTTCACAGAGAACACAGCTGTGACACCTGATCTCTTCACAGAGAACACAGCTGTGACACCTGATCTCTTCACAGAGAACACAGCTGTGACACCTGATCTCTTCACAGAGAAACACAGCTGTGACACCTGATCTCTTCACAGAGAACACAGCTGTGACACCTGATCTCTTCACAGAGAACACAGCTGTGACACCTGATCTCTTCACAGAGAACACAGCTGTGACACCTGATCTCTTCACAGAGAACACAGCTGTGACACCTGATCTCTTCACAGAGAAACACAGCTGTGACACCTGATCTCTTCACAGAGAACACAGCTGTGACACCTGATCTCTTCACAGAGAACACAGCTGTGACACCTGATCTCTTCACAGAGAACACAGCTGTGACACCGGATCTCTTCACAGAAAACACAGCTGTGACACCTGATCTCTTCACAGAGAACACAGCTGTGACACCTGATCTCTTCACAGAGAACACAGCTGTGACACCTGATCTCTTCACAGAGAACACAGCTGTGACACCTGATCTCTTCACAGAGAACACAGCTGTGACACCTGATCTCTTCACAGAGAACACAGCTGTGACACCTGATCTCTTCACAGAGAACACAGCTGTGACACCTGATCTCTTCACAGAGAACACAGCTGTGACACCTGATCTCTTCACAGAGAACACAGCTGTGACACCTGATCTCTTCACAGAGAGACAGATGTGGACAGGTGTTGACTGGGTTGGTGGTTACTGAAGTAAGCGTGATTTTGATAACATTTGATATTCATAATTCACCTATGAATATGTTGTATTTTGAGCATAAAGCAACAGAATTGACCACTTGAATAATAATACTTTTAATTATAATACTTTTTTATTTTTATCTGATTTGAAAGTTTTCAGGCCAAAATAACAGGGGCCCAAATAGTATTCATCATCAAAAACAAGTAAGATAAAGAAACTGTTTCAAACATCGTTTTTTCCTCCTTTTGAAGCTATTAAGTAATTAATGCCTGCAAAGAGCTGTAAAGGCAAGCGGTCCAAGTTGGAGATCCTCAGCTCCACATTTGGATATTTGTGATATTTTTCTCGATTCATAATCAAAGACATGTCCTGAGGTCTTTTTTTGCAGTATGCAGGGATTTGGCTTTGATGTCCTCCAGAGGTAACATCAAACAAAAGGCATGTCGCTTTGATTTTTACTGTTCCCTCACTCTCGGAAACCCTGTCCTAGGCTTCACTCCTGTCTCATCATAGCAGAGCACAGCCAAATCTCACCCTTGTCTCTGGCTTATAGAAAGAAAATCATTTCAGAACCTCTTGTGCATAATTCATTATAATGGTTTGTATTTTTCCCTCAGTGCATGTTAGATAAGAAGAGGAGAGTTTCATAGAATTTAGGTCCTTAGGTAAGATGTAAGACATGTTGATAGACTTTGTGTATCCTCATAAGTTAATTCACCTGCAGACATAGACATAATACAAGGTCTAATCTGTACAGTTTATAGTCAAATATTTACTACATACAGTATAAATAGTATCCGTTGGACCTTCACTGTGGATGGGAAACAAGTTATTTTAAGTCAGGTTTTAATTTATGGAGATACAATTAAAACAGAAACATTGGATACATGTTTATGAATTTTGCAGATGGATCTGTGTGGTCTGGTGTGTATGGTTCCAACTGCTAGATGGTTTCCTCCATCCATGGGGAAAACAAAAAAAACATTTATTCTTCTTGCATGCAAACTATGTTTTATCTTGAAAATATTGATGTTTATGTACATGCAAACTACAGTATGTTTTATATTTTAATATTGATGTTTGTGTACATGCTGTAGTCTCCATGTTGATAATTTAGCAAAAACCATGACATAATGTCAATCTGAATCACCATTTCTTATTGTGGTCACCAGAGGCATGCAACAGTCAGTTGAGAGATGTATGATATAAGGAATGTTATGCCACAATACATTTCTGTTTTGTCCTGTAGGGGATGTTCCTCTGGTAACCATAGTAAAAACACAGTGTACAAAACATTAGGAACGCCTTACTAATATTGAGTTGCACCTCCTTTGGCCCTCAGAACAGCCTCAGTTTGTCAGGCCATGGACTCTACAAGGTGTCGAAAGCATTCCACAGGGATGCTGGCCCATGTTGACCCAATGCTTGTCCATAGTTGTGTCAAGTTGGCTAGATGTCCTTTGGGTGGTGGACCATTCTTGATACACACAGGACACGTAGTCCCGTGTAGCTCAGTTGGTAGAGCATGGCACTTGCAACGCCAGGGTTGTGGGTTCGATTCCCACGGGGGACCAGTATGAAAATGTATGACCCTCACTAACTGTAAGTCGCTCTGGATAAGAGCGTCTGCTAAATGACGTAAATGTAAAATGAAACTGTTGAGTGTGAAAAACCCAGCAATGTTGCAGTTCTTGACACACTCAAACTGGTGTGCCTGGCACCTACTACCATACCCCATTCAAAGGCACATCTTTCGTCTTGCCCGTTCACCTTCTGAATGGCACACATACACAATCCATGTCTCAATTGTCTCAAGGCTTAAAATCATTTTTTTAACCTGTCTCCTCCCCTTCATCTACACTGATTGAAGTGGATTTAACAAGTGACATCAATAAGGGATTATAGCTTTCACCTGGATTCACCTGGTCAGTCAAGGAAAGAGAAGGTGTTATAATGTTTTGTACACTCAGTGTATTTAGATGGATTGGAAGGGGCATATAGAGAGAGGGAGTGTTGGGAATATATGTTGATATTTTCAACCAAAATCATAGTCACTGTGTCACATGTCAAAATGTAATGAAAGCACAGTGTGTTATGATGACTATACTGCCATGCCCCTTTCTGCCTCCCCCTCCAATTAATACCTATATCCTCCATGGTGTATTACAGGACAGTAGTTTATGATAGAGTTCCACTATATAGAGTATGTATGATAATGTTTGTATATATTACATATTTATTCTTTAGAAATGGCTGTTGCTATCACCATATTTCAGCTTGTTCTGAATCCCTAGGTTGAACTTAATTAACCATGTATGATATGGCAAAGCAATGTAGAACTACTACTGTCTGTATTTTAATCCTCATGTTGTGTACTATAAATGTGTCTGAATGTTCTCAACAAATATAGTAATCTATAATGTACTAATTTAACATCAAATAAAACAAATAATTACATAAAATGTCTAGTATAATTGATTCCTTTGAATACGTTACACAGTTGTGTTTGATCGTAGCTGACAGTGTTAGATTGAGGGGGAGGAGAGTCAGTCAGTTATCACAAAGGGGAGCCACTCTTTGATTTATGGGTTCTCCTCGGCATGCAGCAGTTTTACTGAGATACAGTGGCTTGCGAAAGTATTCACCCCCCTTGGCATTTTTCCTATTTTGTTGCCTTGCAACCTGGAATTAAAATGGATTTTTTTGGGGGTTTGTATAATTTGAGTTACACAACATGCCTACCACTTTGAAGATGCAAAATATATTTTGGGTGAAACAAACAAGAAATAAGACAAAAAAACAGAAAACTTGAGTGTGCATAACTATTCACCCCCCCCAAAGTCAATACTTTGTAGAGCCACCTTTTGCAGCACTTACAGATTCAAGTCTCTTGGGGTATGTCTCTATAAGGTTGGCACATCTAGCCACTGGGATTTTAGCCCATACTTCAAGGCAAAACTGCTCCAGCTCCTTCAAGTTGGATGGGTTCCGCTGGTGTACAGCAATCTTTAAGTCATACCACAGATTCTCAACTGGATTGAGATCTGGGCTTTGACTTGGCCATTCCAAGACATTTAAACGTTTCCCCTTAAACCACTCGAGCGTTGCTTTAGCAGTATGCTTAGGGTCATTGTCCTGCTGGAAGGTGAACCTCCGTCCCAGTCTCAAATCTCTGGAAGACTGAAACAGGTTTCCCTCAAGAATTTCCCTGTATTTAGCGCCATCCATCATTCCTTCAATTCTGACCAGTTTCACAGTCCCTGCCGATGAAAACATCCCCGCAGCATGATGCTGCCACCACCATGCTTCACTGTGGGGATGGTGTTCTCGGAGTGATGAGAGGTGTTGGGTTTGCCACAAACCTAGCATTTTCCTTGATGGCCAAAATGCTCAATTTTAGTCTCATCTGACCAGAGTACCTTCTTCCATACGTTTGGGGAGTCTCCCACATGCCTTTTGGCGAACACCAAACGTGTTTGCTTATTTTTTTCTTTAAGCAATGGCTTTTTTCTGGCCACTCTTCCATAAAGGCCAGCTCTGTGGAGTGTACGGCTTAAAGTGGTCCTATGGACAGATACTCCAATCTCTGCTGTGGAGCTTTGCAACTCCTTCAGGGTTATCTTTGGTCTCTTTGTTGCCTCTCTGATGAATGCCCTCCTTGCCTGGTCCGTGAGTTTTGGTGGGCGGCCCTCTCTTGGCAGGTTTGTTGTGGTGCCATATTCTTTCAATTTTTTAATAATAGATTTAATGGTGCTCCGTGGGATGTTCAAAGTTTCAGATATTTTTTTATAACCCAACCCTGATCTGTACTTCTCCACAACTTTGTCCCTGACCTGTTTGGAGAGCTCCTTGGTCTTCATGGTGCCGCTTGCTTGGTGGTGCCCCTTGCTTAGTGGTGTTGCAGACTCTGGGGCCTTTCAGAACAGGTGTATATATACTGAGGTCATGTGACAGATCATGTGACACTTAGATTGCACACAGGTGGACTTTATTTAACTAATTATGTGACTTCTGAAGGTAATTGGTTGCACCAGATCTTATTTATGGGCTTCATAGCAAAGGGGGTGAATATACAGTGGGGAGAACAA